TTCATTCATTCATTCATGTTTATTCATCCTGTAGATCAGATTACATTGATATAGGACATGTCACATAATATAAATTATAAAATTAACAAAATACAGTAGATTCTAAACCAGTAAACACACAAGATATGTAATGATTATTTACATCTAACATGTATCATAATCTAATATATCATAGTTTATCCATACATTCATATATTCAATATTTACTATCCATAGATCGGACCACACAGGTGTAGAACGTGACACAAGTAATAAATTATAAAATTAGCAAGGTGCGAGAATTCATAACAAATAAAGTCACAAAATATGTAATGACTATCATATCTAGCATATATCAATATGCAACATAACAGAATTTATCCAAACATTCATTCACTCGAATAAATTATAAAATTAGCAAGATGCAATAAGATCAAAACAATAAACTCGCAAATATGCAATGAGTATTTATATCAAACACGTAACAATTCCAATAATTCAGAATTATCTGTACATTAATTAATTCATATTTACCCATACCACAGATCAGACTACATAAAAGTAGGACATATCTCATGAAACGAGTTATAAAACCAACAAAATTACAACAAATTATAAACCAACAAATTCACAAAATATGTAATGCAATATCACATGCAGCATATATAACTATCCAGCATTACAGAATTTATCATTCATATAGTCATCAATTGAGTAGTAGCATCTATTTATGAGCAAATTCTTAAGTTCCCTTATAAACTGGTTTTTATTGTCAAGCTGTTTAATACTATTGGGTAATTTATTATAAAAGATACAGCCAGCAACGGAAGGTTTGCNCGTGTACTTGTTTGTTTACCGTACAGTTACACTTATTAGTTGAACTGTTAGTTATTAGAACTGTGATGTTGATTACTCAATGGCACATGTCCTCAGTTATCTTGTTGCAGGCCTGAATGATTAAAGCTACAAATTCCATAACATTTTGTAGCTTTTTTGGAAAAATATCCTTTCCTTAAGGAATCCCCAAAAAAGTAGTCACATGGGTTTAAATCAGGACTATTCAGGGGGGCCAGTTCTGTCCACATGCAAAATGATCTGGAACTTGGTTTTTTATGACATTTGAATCAAAAATGTCATGCAGGAAGTCCAAAACAACATTTGCTGTGTGCAGCACGGCTGTATCCTGTGTGAACCACTGAGTTTGTAATGGCAAACCTGTAGCAAGAAGGTGAGGCACAAAAGTATTGTGCAGCATGCTTAAATAGCACTCATTGTTCACTGTCTCTTCATAGAGAATTTGCCCTAGGAGTCCAGGACTTGAAATGGGGATTCACACTGTAATTCTCGGTGCATGATGCACCTTCTCCTGAATGAGACATGGATTCTCTGACACCCAAAATCGCCCATTTTGTTTATTAACCACACACTCCAAGTGGAAGTGTGCCTCTTCAGAAAACCAAACACTGTTGAACGATACCTGATTATTCAGAACCCATTCAGCAAATGCCCTTCTCTGATGTTTGTTTTGAACTGTAACTTTAGGCAATACTGTCATTTGATATGAATACAAATTCAAATCACTTTTCAGTATTTGTTGCACAGATCGTCTGGGTATCCCCAGTTGTGCTGCAGCCTTCCTTGTTGATTTTCTGGGGACTTTTGCAGTGCCACTCTGACAGCATCAATGTTCTCCAGAGGAAAAACAGATGAAGGCTAGCAACATTTCCTCTCTGACACTGAACCATCATTATTAAACTGGTTATAAAGTTTATGAATTGTTTTGAATGAAGGTGCCCCTCGCTTTTGAAAATGAGCATGAAACCGTCTCTGTGTAACCACAACACTTCTTGTTTCAGAAGAGAACAACAGTATTTTTATGCATTGTTCTGTAGGGAGCCTTCTTTCATCAGTCATCTTGTGTAAATTGGTGCATGAGCAGGAACAGTGTAACACTAGCGCGCTCAGTAAGAGTAAGAACTAATCTCCGTGAGGTAATGTGAGTGTTAGTGTGTTGTGAAACATCATCCATTGCATGGTTGAATGATTAATGCTATAACAAATATTGGATTATTTCATGCACCATCCCATGTCTCTCTAGCTAACTATCTCTTGTCCATCTTGATATGTTGAAAATTCTGTCCATATATGTATATTTTATTTCTTTGTGTATGTCCATCTCTCCATCTTTATCCGCATGTCTATCCATCCATCTGTTCATCTATCTGGTCATCCACTCATTCACCCAACCGACCATTCTGGACAAGATCCATGATCAAAAGAGTATACTCAGTTTAGAGACCACTGTGTGTTCCATCCAACTGTTTCTTAGCTGCAGACAGCAACCCTGGAGTTTATAATTAGTCTTTACTGTTAATTTTGTCATACTGCTAGTAAAATTATTATCAGAAAAAATCCATCCATCCATCCACCCATCTGTCCACACGTCCTTATATTTCATATAATCTCTCTAAAGTACAAAACAAAAGGTGCTGTTGCATTCTTTATGACAGTAATTTAAATATTGTCTCATTTCAGTAGCTGAGGTAATATAACCCATAAGAAGTACAGATTCTGCCATAATGCTGTTCATTCAGTGGTTGCTACAGTTGCTACAGTGGTTTCTTGGATGGGGAGAGAAGTATGTAAGTAATCTTTATAGTATATACACACACATATCTAACCCTTCCAGCTGCACTGTGGCCCTGGGGTCCGCTCAGCCTATAACAGAAATGTGCACCACAAATCTTCTAGGGGGGGGGGCACACAATTAAAGAAAAGGTTCAAAAGCAACATGTGCCAGAACATCAAGTTGTTGCATAGTCATGTCAGCTGGATATGTAGTTGAGGTTGAGGAAACAAGAGGTGCATACAATTTGGAAGTGAAACACGCTTCTGTGGTTTCCTCTTGGAAGATCTGAACAGGAGTTTCCCTCATTGTGGTGATAATGTCAAAAGGCTCATATTTAATGATAATCATAATTATAATCATATTCATAATCATACAGTCACTACTCATTTCCTAAAAATATGACACTTTTCTTGGTTCGTGATTTATTTAACACAGCACATGACAAACTTATTTTATGTTGACAGAAAGAAGACCGAGACTGTTACTTGCTTATGTCTGAGAGACAGAAGGAGCTAATGCATCTCATGGTGATACTTCATGAAATGTTTAAGAAGCTAGAGGAGAAGGTATATAAACAGTGAACAGTGATGTACAGTACACAATAAGTGTTTGAAGAAGAGAGCATTTCACTTTCTTTCCTACTTACAGACTTAAAATATGCCAAGAATTTTGTCTCAGTTCTTATGTAAATTTTATCATGATTATGGACATCCTATTTGTAATATCTTCCACAAATATTCTTTTTATATTCCACTCATATAACATTGTCAACCATACTCAACTGATACACTAATTTGGGGAAAAACAGTAATGCAGTATTGTAATTAAAGTAGACTGTAGAGAAAAGCTCCTGGAATACCTGAAAGATAAGGGTCCCTGATCCTGGAGAAAAATGTTAATAGTGTCATGTGTAGGGTGGTATGCGCAACAAAAATGACGGATTCTAGTTCAGGTGACTGGATTTGTTAGCACCTCGGTTATAGTCTTCCTAATGACATTTAAATACAGCGATATCGCTGGTCCTCTCCTGGTATCACAAGTAAAATGCAGGAACTATAGCAGTCTCACTGCATCACATACTCCAAGTATTACACATGAATGAAGTCTTTTAATCACACACCATGTCTTCACAGGCTGACTTCTTATACCTCTTCTACAAAAAAAATTCCATGGCTCTCTTCTACCGAGAATTCAGAACTCAGAACTAAATTGTAGTCAAAGTCAAAGTAACATTGCAACTGGCAGTCAGTCAGTCAGTCGGTCAGTCAGTAAGTCTTGATGCTAAGCGACCTCCATAGTCTAGGGGTAATGTTCCCACCTCATGACTCAAGGTACGCGGGTTCAAACCTGGCAGAGGTCGTGGAATTTTTAAGGGCGCAAAAATTCAGGGAACAAGTTCTCCAGGAGGGACTTTAAGCCGTGAGTTCCGTGTCATAGATTTACAGCACGTAAAAGATCATCATGTCTCTAGGAGAACTCTGAGCAAAATTAGGC